TGAAGTTACCTACGGCCAATTCTTAAACAAATAAATAAACGCAAGCGGAAGAAATATTTCAGTAAGAGTACCAAAATAATCATTGGAGCTTCTATTTTTATTACAAAAAGTATTGACCAAAAAGGCCGATATTTACATATAAAAAAGTGCTATGTATGTCTATTCCGCAGCCTCACATCTAAGACTTTCCAGAAGCTATTTCAGAATTTGCATGTTTCCTGAAAATTGGTAAACAACTATAAGCACATGGCAGAGTGAGAAATATTATACCAATAGTATAAGGGACACGAAATAACCATAGATAGTTAATTAGGCCAAAACATTTACATAAATAAATCATTTGAGTAGCAGAAATTGCTCATTTAAGTAGCAGAACTGAAATATATAGATTATGTAAGTAAATAGCCATAACCACGATACAGAACAGAACAGAACAGAGGTCACAGAAGTGACAGTCAGAACAGATGTACGGATTCAAGAGGTGGCTCGTACGGATTCTAGAGGTGGCTCCCACAATAGTGTAGCACTTAGTTCCGCACAGCACTTTGGTCCGCACAGAACAGAAGTACGGATTCAAGAGGTGGCTCGTACGGATTCTAGAGGTGGCTCCCACAATAGTGTAGCACTTAGTTCGGCACAGCACTTTGGTCCGCACAAAACAGAGGTCAGTGGATCAGAGGGCCACAAAGTAACCAAACAGAGGCCAATGGTTATTTAAGTCCCCCAAGGCGTGGGACTCGTGTGGTGGTACTTACAAAATATAATTATTTATAAGGTTATAGTCAAATATTTTTTAAAATATAAACAGACATATCCACGGATTTCCTTTTAAGCAAATAGGGTTAAAAAATAAAATCACGTAACTGAAACCTTTATAAAACATAACTTTTATTAAAAACATAACTTGTATAAAACAAATTTTAGTAAGTCAAAATATACGTAAAATATATTTTAATAATTCAAGATATAATAAAACTCACCTTAATTTTAATACCTCACTCCTCCTTTCCCCTATCAAAGATTCTTTCACCTTTCACTATTTCTTCCTTCTTTTTCTCTCTTTCCTTTCTTTTCTTTCTTCTTTCCTCTTTCTTTTGCTTTTCTTCTATCCCAGTGAAACGCCTACTCCCTATTTATTGGGAGGTCAGGCCATTGATCAGCCCGCGTGGCTTACGCGTCCCTTTCCCTGAGATATAATTCATAATTATATAGATTTAATCTTATCCTTAATAGATATTTAAAATAATTATCTTTTAACCTAATTTTTTAATATAATTATATAAATAAAATAATTCTTAATTAAATTACACTTAAAATAATTACCTTATAACCCAATTTTTTAATATAATTATATAAATAAAATAATTCTTAATTAAATTACACTTAAAATAATTACCTTATAACCCAATTTTTTAATATAATTATATAAATAAAATAATTCTTAATTAAATTACACTTAAAATAATTACCTTATAACCCAATTTTTTAATATAATTATATAAATAAAATAATTCTTAATTAAATTACACTTAAAATAATTACCTTATAACCCAATTTTTTAATATAATTATATAAATAAAATAATTCTTAATTAAATTACACTTAAAATAATTACCTTATAACCCAATTTTTTAATATAATTATATAAATAAAATAATTCTTAATTAAATTACACTTAAAATAATTACCTTATAACCCAATTTTTTAATATAATTATATAAATAAAATAATTCTTAATTAAATTACACTTAAAATAATTACCTTATAACCCAATTTTTTAATATAATTATATAAATAAAATAATTCTTAATTAAATTACACTTAAAATAATTACCTTATAACCCAATTTTTTAATATAATTATATAAATAAAATAATTCTTAATTAAATTACACTTAAAATAATTACCTTATAACCCAATTTTTTAATATAATTATATAAATAAAATAATTCTTAATTAAATTACACTTAAAATAATTACCTTATAACCCAATTTTTTAATATAATTATATAAATAAAATAATTCTTAATTAAATTACACTTAAAATAATTACCTTATAACCCAATTTTTTAATATAATTATATTGAAGTTACCTACGGCCAATTCTTAAACAAATAAATAAACGCAAGCGGAAGAAATATTTCAGTAAGGGTACCAAAATAATCATTGGAGTTTCTATTTTTATTACAAAAAATATTGACTAAAAAGGCCGATATTTACATATAAAAAAGTGTTATGTATGTCTATTCCGCAGCCTCGCATCTAAGACTTTCCAGAAACTATTTCAAAATTGCATGTTTCCTGAAAATTGGTAAACAAGTATAAGTACATGGTAGAGTGAGAAATATTATACCAATAGTATAAGGGACACGAAATAACCATAGATAGTTAATTAGGCCAACATTTACATAAATAAATCCTTTGAGTAGCAGAAATTACTCATTTAAGTAGTAGAACTGAAATACATAGATTATGTAAGTAAATAGCCATAACCACGGTACATAACAGAACAGAACAGAACAGAGGTCACAGAAGTGATAGCCAGAACAGAGGTATGGATTCAAGAGGTGGCTCATACGGATTTTAGAGGTGGCTCCCACAATAGTGTAGCACTTAGTTCCGCACAGCACTTTGGTCCGCACAGAACAGAGGTACGGATTCAAGAGGTGGCTCGTACGAATTCTAGAGGTGGCTCCCATAATAGCATAGCACTTAGTTCTGCACAGCACTTTGGTCCTTACAAAACAGAAGTCAGTGGATCAGAGGGCCACACAGTAACCAAACAAAGGCCAATGGTTATTTAAGTCCCCCAAGGCGTAGGACTCCCGTGGTGGTACTTACAAAACATAATTGTCTATAAGGTTATAGTCAAATATTTTTTAAAACATAAACAGACATATCCATGGATTTCCTTTTAAGCAAATAGGGTTAAGAAGGGTTAAGCATCGTGATGGCCAGTAACTAAAGTTACCTACGACCAATTCTTAAACAAATAAATAAACGCAAACGGAAGAAATATTTCAGTAAGGGTACCAAAATAATCATTGAAGTTTCTATTTTTATTACAAAAAGTATTGACCAAAAAGGCCGATATTTACATATAAAAAAGTGTTATGTATGTCTATTCCGCAGCCTCGCATCTAAGACTTTCCATAAGCTATTTTAGAATTGCATGTTTCTTGAAAATTGATAAACAACTATAAGCATGTGGCAGAGTGAGAAATATTATACTAAGAGTATAAGGGCACGAAATAACCATGGATAGTTATGTAGCCAAAACATGTACATAACTCAGTTGATAAATAAGTCATTTAAGTACTAGAAACTGAAATACAGATGTTATGTAAATATATCACCATAACTACGGTACAGAACAGAACAGAACAGAGCAGAGGTCACAGAAGTGACAGTTAGAACAGATGTACGAATTCAAGAGGTGGCTCGTATGGATTCTAGAGGTGGCTCCCACAATAGTGTTGCACTTAGCTTCGCACAGCACTTTGGTCCGCACAGAACAGAGGTACGGATTCAAGAGGTGGCTCGTACGGATTCTAGAGGTGGCTCCCACAATAGTGTAGCACTTTGCTCCGCACAGAACAGAGGTCAATGGATCCATGACAAACAGAGGACCACAAAGTGATCAAATAGAGGCCAATAGTTATTTAAGTCCCCCAAGGCGTGAGACTCCCGTCGTGATACTTACAAAACATAATTGTTTATAAGGTCATAATCAAATATTCTTTAAAATATAAACAAACATATCCATGGATTTCCTTTTAAGCAAATAGGGTTCAGAAGATAAATCACGTAACTGAAACCTTTATAAAACATAATTTTTATTAAAAACATAATTTGTATAAAACAGATTTTAGTAAATTAAAACATGCGTAAAATATATTTTAGTGACTCAAAATATAATATAACTCACCTTAACTTTAATACCTCACTTTTCCTTTTCACTATTAAAGACCCTTTCACCTTCCACTATTTCTCCCTTCTTTTTCTTTCTTTCCTTTCTTTTCTTTCTTCTTTCTTTTTCTTTCCTCTTTCTTTTCCTTTTCTTCCATCCCCGTGAAACGCCTACTCCCTATTTATAGGGAGGTCAGGCCATTGATCAGCCAACGCGTGACTTACGCGTCCCTTTCCCTCAGATGTAATTCGTAATTATATAAACTTAATCTTATCCTTAATAGATTTTTAAAATAATTATCTTTTAACTCAACTTTTTAATATAATTAACCCAACTTTTTAATATAATTATATAAATAAAATAATTCTTAATTAAATTACATTTTATCGTATACTAACAGATATTAATTATTTATTTTACTACCACACCTATTATTCTTTTTATTATTTATATAATCTATCTTATTATTATTTATATTTTAACTTCTAAACTTTTAATAATTATATCATTTTACAAAAATTACACATAATATTATATAATAAATTATATATTTTCCGAACTGAGATTAAATAATATTAATATAAATTCTATAAAATAATTAAAAATCTAAGTTGTTACATCAAACCTTAAGACTAGGTCTCCGCTCAGACCTATCTCAAGCCTCATTTGGTCCGACTCGACTTATTTAGGGCATAAACTTGAGGTTGAATTGTATACTTTCAAACTAAATGATGATTTCAACTATCCAATAATGTTTTACTCTCATTGTCAAGTAAATGTTATATGTTCATCAAATTTTTGATAAATATGACGTAAACAGAATTTTTGTATAAAAATTGCACCCAAAATAATATGAGAATTTATGATTACCGGAATTTTGAAAAATAATAATATGATATATTATTTGTTTTTTTTATTTATTATTTAAGATTAAAATTTTACTACTATGAAAAAATATCATGCATATCATAAAAAAAATATAATTTTGCCATAAATTCACGTTACAGTATGTTTAAAATTTTATGTAATTTTGTGCTTTGTTTTAGATGGATTTAATGTGTAAAAAATTGATTTGTAAACGTTTTAAGGTTCTTACATCTTACAACGCTGCAATCTCCTAATTTCTCTCTCTCTCTCTCTCTCTCTCTCTCTTCCAAATATATATCTGCGTGTATATACATATATACGAGTCTGCTCTGCATGTTGATTCCTACGAACAAACTTCTGAAGTTACGACTCAAGCCTTCTCATGTACTGAAACAGTCTGTTTCCATGCTCTCATCATTTTCTCTTCCTTTTCCACCCAACCAAACGGTATCATCAGCATCCGTAGACGATACCATTTCTCGCATATCGCCTTTGATAAACCAACCCAATTGGGAACAAAGCAATCCCCTAAAATTACTGGTTTCTCACATTCCTCCACACGCAGCTTCCAATGTTATTGCACAGTACAGTCACAACATCGAGCTTGGGATTCGGTTTTTTAGATGGGTATGCAAGCAATCAACGCATTGCTATGATTTAGATAGTAGAATTTATCTATTGAAGTTAATGGTATGTCGTGGTTTATTTGTGATTTCACATAAAGCTATGATTTTTCTGATCAGAGAGTGTAGTAATGGCGAGGATGAGATTATGAAGTTAATGGATGCGATTGAGAACATGCGGGAGATTGGGTTTAGGCTTAATTACCCTTGTTATAGCTCTCTTTTGATGTGTTTAGCTAAGTTGAGTATGGGTTCTTCGGCATTTTCGGTGTGTCGAAGAATGGTAGATGATGGGTTTGTTCTTGGGGTTGTTGATTACAAGTCTATAATTAATGCCCTGTGCAAGAACGCATTTGTTCAAGGAGCTGAGATGGTTTTATCAAGAGTTTTGAGAGTTGGATTTGATTTGGATGTTCATATTTATACCTCTTTGGTGTTGGGTAGTTGCAGGAAAGGTGATCTGGTGGAGGCCTTCCGGGTGTTTGATATAATGTCTGAAGAAGATGGCTGTAACCCCAATAGTGTTACATACTCGATACTGATTCACGGTCTATGTGAAACCGGTGGGATTGATGAAGCATTTCGATTGAAGGAAGAAATGAGTAAAAAGGGTTGCCAACCAAGTACACGTACATACACGGTCCTCATCAAAGCCCTTTGTGACATAGGATTGACTGACAAGGCGTTATGCTTGCTTGATGAGATGGCTATGAAGGGATGTAAACCAAATGATCACACTTACACTGTATTGATAGACAGGTTGTGTGGCGAAGGAAAGATTGAGGAAGCTAATGGGATGTTCAGAAAGATGTTAAAAGATGGGTTGTTTCCTGGCACGGTAACTTACAATGCATTGATCAATGGTTATTGCAAGGATGGGAGGGTTGTCTCCGCTTTTGAGCTACTTAGTTCGATGGAAAGGAGAAATTGCAAGCCTAATATCCGCACCTACAATGAGCTAATGGAAGGGCTGTGTAGAGTAAATAAACCTTTCAAAGCGATGTTGCTATTGAGAAGGGTTGTTGATAATGGCCTATTGCCCAGCAGAGTATCCTACAACGTTCTGATTGATGGGTTCTGCAGGGAAGGGCAACTTAGTATGGCATTCAACATAATGAATTCAATGGACACACTTGGCATTGAACCTGATTGTCTTACTTATACCACATTAATTGATGGGCTTTGCAAACAAGGGAGACCAGAACAAGCAAATGGGGTCTTAGGTTTGTTGATGAAGAAGGGAATATCACCTGATGAAGTAGCATTGACTGCTCTTATTGATGGGTATTGCAGGAATGGTGAAGCTGGAACTGCATTTATGCTTTTTGAGAGAATGGTTGACCGTAGGCGTTTGATGAGCCCGCATATTTTCAACTTATTCCTTCATGTTCTCAGCAAACAAATTAGGGTGAACGAAACAAATGCAATGTTGGGGAAGATGGTAAAGTATGGTTTGGCTCCTTCTGTAGTGACTTACACAATATTAATTGATGGACTTTGCCGAGCAGGTAGTACTAGGCATTCTTTAAACATCTTAACACTTATGAAACAAGTTGGTTGTCTCCCAAACGTTTACACTTACACTGTTGTCATCTATGGCCTTTGCCAACAAGGGAGAGTAGATGAAGCAGGGGCTCTTCTCTTCAAGATGTCTCTTTTAGGATTGTCTCCAAACCACATTACATATGCTATATTGGTAAAAGCACATGTTAAAGCTGGTAGGTTGGATTGTGCCTTTAAGATTGTGAGGGCCATGGTTAAAAGTGGTAGTCAACCAAACAGTCATATCTACTATGCACTGCTTATGGGGTTTGTCATGTCAGGCAAAGCAACAAATGAAGGAGCCATAAGTTCTTTAGGTGGTTTAGGTGCTAATTCCTCGCTTATAATGGAGAATGATGATGATTATGTTTCCAATCATGTTTTCAGAGAAATGGATGTTGACAATGCTTTTGAACTTCTAGATAAGATCAAGGATTGCGTTGGTTCCACAGTGGATTTGTATAATTTGTTAGTTATGGGTTTGTGCAAAGTTGGAAGAATGTCAGAAGCAGGTCATCTTGTCCAAGATATGGTGAAATGTGGTTTCTTTCCTGACAAAGCTGTCTCTTCTTTGATCATTCAGCACTTCTGCAAGGAGAAGAACTTTGATTATTGTCTCGAGTTCATAAAACTAATTTTCAATAACGGTTTTATTCCATCTATTTCATCGTACTGTTCAGTGATACTTGGCCTTCGCAAAGAAGGGAAGGTTCAAGAAGCCGAAAAACTGGTCTCTGATCTCTTAAGATATGCTGATGTTGATGAGAAAGCTGCAGTATCACCCTATATTGAGTTCTTAGTGAAGGAAGATGAACCCTACGAATTCCTTGAGGTTCTAAAACTTGTTGAGCAAATGCATCAGAATGAGAGGCCAATTATTTAATTTCTAATCCCTTTTTTTGGGTAAGAATCAAGCAGGCAACATGATGCATCAGCCTTAGATCATTACCAAATGTGGATTATTTAGTGATGACAGCATAGACATCTTTATGTCCATATTAATCATTTGATGTGGAACTTGGGAGATTGTTCATGCCAAGAAGTTATATCTTCGCAGTAGGGCTGACAGTTGACTGGAAACATGCATGATAGATTCATCAAGCAAATTGATGTTATAATTCTTTTATCAATTTTCCTTAAGGCAATGTACCTTGACATGCTGGGAGCTGAAGTAGCATGCAACAAGCAAAACTTCATCAAAGCTGATATATCAATTCTTGCTGGTTTAGTTTTTGGAGCTTTTGTTTGAGACAATGCAAGAACAGCAACTGCTAGGCTTTCAAAGTGGTGCAGACCGAGGTGACTGAATTCTTCTCTGCAGCCATGATAGAACTTGAATGATTTAAACTTAATCTCTAGTATCTATGTATATTCATTGTCTTTCTATCTTGTCAATTTACAGATACAAGCATTTCGTCTAGGGCTATCTCATCATATCAATCGAAAAGGCATAGTCCTGAGGTATGTTCATGTTCAATTTTCCCCCCTCCTTGACAATTACGAGTATATTATTACCGGTAGGAGTTAACTGAGTTCAGGAATATCCAAAACACCAGCAAGTATCTTTTATCTTTTATTTTAGTTACTTGTTCCCCTATCTCTCAATGATATCACTTTAAAGCTAGTTGACCATTGAATAATTTATAGTGAACTTTAATAAGGTTTCTGCAGAGTATATGAAATTGGCATAGAATTTTGATTTATTTTGCTGAATGATTATATAAGAAGCCTTATAAATTTGGTTTTTGTTGAGATGAATAGTAGTACAGATACTAATTATTGACGTTAATAGATCTAAATGAGAGATTAAACAAGATATGACAAATCTCTTGAAAACCTTGGTATACTCAAATGATCCCCTTTTTACTTCCCATCATGAATTTGCTTAGTAATGTTTGTCCCTTGATTTTTGATATATTATGCAGAGGTTTACTTGACTAGTAGCCATTGTTTAGTCAACATTACTAAATATGGCCATTCATTGCTTGGAATTTGTTGCAGTATTGTTGTATGTATTGAATGAACGGTCTATGCTTGTGATTGTATTTTGCTTGATAACTGGGGGATCATCTTCCATCATTGAAATAGTTGTCTATGGTAGCAGTATAGAGCATGCAAGATCTGCCTTATTTCTAATGCTGAGGGCATCTCCAACCATGCTCTATATCTTCAAATTTGAACCATCCTCCCTCTATTTTTCTACTCCAACCCATCCTCTATATCCTTCTCCATTTGAAAGGATGGATGTTTCATCCTTCAAATATAGAGGGAGTATGAAAAATGAGGGATGATCTCTATAATACTATTCATTTTTTTTTAAATATCAATTTTGTCCTTAAGCCCTTTTGCTATTTAATTTATATGCCACTTATATCCTTTTGTATTTTTTTATTATATGTTATAAAATACAAATAACTTTTAATATGTACATCTAAATTTTATAAATTTGGTATCATTAAAAATATTAAAATTATATCTGTAAAATGAGTCTAATATTAAATATATTTAACAAAAAATTAAAAATTGTTAATGTTGCAAAATTTATTGGAGTATCTCCAACCCAATCCTCTCACCAAGAGGATGAAAATAAATTTTTTTATTCAAAAAATTAATATAGAGTATGTCACTATTCATTCAAATTCCAACTATAAACCTTCATTTTCTTCTCTAAATATTTCCGTCCAAAATTAACCATCAATTTTCCCTCCATCTATTTTCCTTACCATCTATTATTTTATAGAAAATTAATTCGGATTGTATATGAGCTAATAAATTTTGCAACATTAATAATATTTAATTTTTTGTTAAATATATTTAATATTAGACTCATTTTAATGATATAATTTTAATATTTTTAATGATACCAAATTTATAAAATTTAGACAAACATATAAAAAGTTATTTGTATTTTATAACATATAATAAAAAATACAAAAGGATATAATTGGTATATAAATTTAAAATCAAAAGGGCTTAAGGACAAAATTGGTATTTAAAAAATATGAATAGTATTATAGAGATCATCTTTCATTTTTCATACTCCCTCTATATTTGAAGGATGAAATATCCATCCTCCCAAATGGAGAAGGATATAGAGGATGGGTTGGAGCAGAAAATAGAGGGAGGATGGTTCAAATTTGAAGATATAAAAGCATGGTTGGAGATGATCTTAGCTCCTGTACAATCTGAATGAATTTTCTATAAAATAATAGATGGTAAGGAAAATAGATGGAGGGAAAATTAGTGGAGGGAAAATTGATGGTTAATTTTGGAGGGAAATATTTAGAGAAGAAAATGAAAGTTTGTGGTTGGAGTTTGAATAAATAGTGACATACTCTATATTAACTTTTTGAATAAAAAATTTTATTTTCATCCTTTTGGTGAGAGAATTGGGTTGGAGATGCTCTAAGGTCTTTCAAAGTCACAGGACAGACATCTAGGTTTTACAAATGCTTAAAAGTTGGTCTTTTGGCTTTTCATTTTTTCAGTAAAAAAGTGTGGCGAAAAAAGTTGAAGTGTTTGGTAACCAAATAAAAAGATGGTTTTTCTAATGGATGTTAAACAACTCAGAATTCATAAATTTTCCATGTCTTTTCTTCTATACATATATAATTCTCACTTAGTGTTAAAATATATATATATATATATATAATTCTCACTTATAAAAAAAATTAAAATATGAATCATTCTGATAGAAAAAGAAAATGTGATCGTGATCAAATATTTAAATTATGGAAATAGATACCGCAACCTCACGGGATATTACATTGTCAATTCTGGTAGGTAATAATTTTTGAAGTTACTGTATAATGAATTTATCATTTTCTGTTGGATTCTTTTTTTTTTTTGGGAAGGTACAAAAGAATTGGACGCCTGCATTGAATGAAACCATCTCTATGGAATCAGCTTGAAGTAATGTTGCATGGAGACCTGCTGGAGAGTCACATAGAGCTAGCCGAGCACAGCGTTTATGCGGCCGAGGGTAAAAGGTGGCAACAAGCTCGCCCAAGATTCCATCTTTGTGTTGCTGAGAGAGAGTGCATTTCAGCCCAAGCTTGCAAGAAGCAGTGCTTGACGAGCAACAAGGTTTGCAATCAACGCAACAGTAATTTGGAAAGTTACCTCCAAAATATATGTGAACCAAATTTATTCTTTAAATCTACACTGTACACTAATTTTAGATCAATATTGTGGGTACTTTGATTTATTATTTTGTCACTAAATTGCTTGATGACCAAGTCTAGTCTCTCACGCCAAGATTCATAGGGATGATGATTAATTGCCCTTGATACTTTTTTATTGTTAAAATGATTAGCAATCTCTCTAATATGAGTGGGTTTAGCGTGTCAAGGCAATATTTTCTATTTGATAAAATGATCGAGAAAATTGTACCATGTCTGTCTACACAATAATTTTAGTAGCCAACAACAACAACAACAATAATAATAATAATAATAGTATATACTTCTATTTTGGTTAGTGATAATAATAGAGTTGAAAACTTACATATCTATTGGCTCCTTGCCCTTGGACCTTGGCCCGATTTGGATTAACCAATCCAAAGGAAAGTAAGAAAAAAAAATTTAGTTTTTATTTTTTATTTTCAATTATATATATATATCTATATAATAAGGCAAGAAGCTTTTTGAAAATGTCTTAAAATGTATATGAGATACATTTTGATCCAATGATCTAAATTGTCTCATCTCAACTTCAATGGTTGAGATGTCTTTATTTCCCTCTCTCCATCAATGGTTGATGAGGGAGGGGCTTTATTTCCCTCTTTGAGCATCAACGGCTTTATTTCCCTCTAATGGTCAGAAAATCTTTCTCTCTCTCTCTCCTCTCCATCACAAGTACTCATCTCCTCTCTCTCTCTCTCATTTCAATTTTTGAACTCTCTCTTTCTCTACCTGCATCGGAGCCTATCCCGTGCGACGTCGACGACCACCGACCACCTCTCCTCTGTGTGTCATCCTCTCTCGAAGACACCACCGACCACCTCCTCTCCTCTCACTCTCCTCTTTCGTCTCTCTCCCCTTGCAAGGTTAACTGAGTAGAAGCAGTAGTAACATTCAGGGCTCTCCAGGTCCAGGACGCACAAGAAAGATATTTGTTGGACGTTTAGCTTCCACAGTCATAGAGGCTGACTTTAAGAAGTATTTTGAGCAGTTTGGGACCATCATCGATGTCGTGGTGATGTATGATCACAACACTCAGAGACCAAGAGGCTTTGGATTCATCACCTATGATTCAGAGGATGCGGTGGACAAAGTGTTGCTGAAAACGTTCCATGAGCTGAATGGTACAATGGTTGAGGTCAAGCGTGTAGTCCCCAAAGAGTTGTCACCAGGTCCTAGCTGAACTCCACTTGGTGTGAGTAGGATCACAGCTAATGGGCTCCAATCACTGACAAATAGGATCAATAACTTTACTGCATTTGCCGAACTCCAATCACAGCTGATAGCCGAACTCCACTACATTTTAATCCCAACCCTTTTTATTCGCATCTTTTTATCTCAATCTGAATCTGATTTTTCACAGGCATAATTTCAGATTTTGCCTAAACTAGATGGAATAAATGTTTTCTTTCTCCTCTGTTAGGCAATATGCTACTGCTGAAGGAGGGCAAGATCTGTATATGAGAGTTTCGGCTTCTGATTTAGGTATGTTCAATTTGAATTGTTTCCATTGTTTGGACTTATAAAATTAAAGGGTAAATATATTTTTCATTCCTGTAACTTAATTTTTAGTTTGATTCCAATTATTTTAATTTCAACAATATTAACCTTAGATTTTAAATTCACAATTTCAATTTACCCCTTTGTCTAAATGTATACATGTGCTGCTGCTAATCATTGTTTAACTTTAATTAATGAAAATCATTTTGCAAACAACAATTCCATACAAAACATACTACAAGAGTGATGTGGTAATGACATTTTAAAAATTGTAAATCATTTTAATAGCTCTTTTAATTTGAGATGAATAGATACACATCTGTCACCTCATTTTGTGTAAAATTTTATATTTATATATTATCGCTTCTAATTAATTAATGGGGTACATGGCAGGTAAAATTCGTTGAATTGGCCATAAAAGGAACAAGCAATGTGCTAAATGCATGTTTGAAGGCAAAAGTGAAGAAGGTGGTGGTGGTGTCATCTGTTGCTGCTGTTATGGTGAACCCTAATTGTCCCACGGATCAACCCATGGATGAAAATTGTTGGAGCGACCCTGAATTCTGCAAACAATTGGAGGTATCTATCTAATTAATTAGGCTAAGTCAAGCCCAAGGGTTGAGAGTTGAAGCCTTCTCATTATTATTATTATTATTTTGAAAATCACACTTTTAGTTTTAATCTTTTTGCTCAAGCTGTTAATAGTATATGCAGTGAATTTCAATTCACAAATCATAGAAAATTATGTACTTATTTCCACATATCAATAAAATGAAATTTGTCTAAGAAAATGATAATAATAATTAGCAAGTCCATATGTAGAATTTATTTTATTTTATTTTAAATTTTTTTTTGTACATGCACTAACTCTTTTTCTTCTTCTTTTTTTTTTTTTTTGGAGGGGGGGGAATATGGTGGTATTGCCTAGGCAAAACGACAGCAGAAAGAGAGGCAGTGGAGTTTGGAAGGAGAAATGAAGTAGTAGTCAAAATCATCACAGTTTGTCTAGCCCTTGCCATCGGCCCCATGCTCCAATCCACCATCAATTCCACTATAAATAATTACCATAATATATAAGAATGTAACTCACCAACTTATAACATATGACCCGAACTAGTTATTGCCTTACCATTTCTCAAAATAATTTAGCCATCAATATATAAATACAATTAATTAATTAATACCACTAAGAAATTTAATTCACAACCTTAATGTAGGCTATTGCAACCAACTCCAAGGTAAGGCTATTCATGCGCAATTGCATTAAGTTTGAATTGTGAAAATAAACGCCAATTGGTTATTAATGTGTTATTTTTTTGTCTAATCTCTATTTAACTGGGTATAGTTTCCTTTACTTCGGCTTCACTTCCATTTCTATCATATAAATTTTGTGTGTTTCAAATAAAGACACTTGCCAACATACAAATATTCATAAACTTAATTTTCAATTTCTTTTCAGATTTTTCCTCTTCTGCTCTCCAGCCCTGTTCTTCTTCTTCCATACCCTCGCTCCCGAAATTGCTGCTCTCCAGGTAAGATCACTCTTTTCATTTTATATGGTGACTATGTACTAGATTTTATTTGTTTATAGATTGTATACATTTTATTTGGATATAAATTGTATAGATTTTTTTATAGATTCTACAGATTTTTTACAAAGAATTTGGATATAGATTGTATAGATTTTATTTGGATATACATCGTATAGATTTTTTTATTTATATATAGATTTTTTACAAAGAATCTGGATTGTATGCATTTTTTATATATATTATCTTTGTGAGTATGTTTTTATTTAGTTAGGTAATGATTTTAGTTTCCGCTTGAAATTTCAGGATTTTATCTTTGTCAGTTTCCGCGATACCTCTCTCTCTTTTTTATTTTTATTTGTGTTTGTGTTTGGCTAGGCAAAAGAATAATTTCTCCTAGGTTTCCTTTTCATAAATTTAATTTTTTTTCTTTCCTTTTAAACAAAGCCCAAAGTAACTGATATGGGTTTGTAGAGTCGTACCTTAAGTTTGTGAGATACATGACCTGTGAAATTTTGACAGTGCCATATGAAGCCCAAAGTAACTGATATGGGTTTGTAGAGTCGTACCTTAAGTTGGTGAGATACACGACCTGTGAAATTTTGATAGTACCACATGAAATTGATGTATGTGGTGGTGACCATTGTTTTTTACTGGGGTTAGAGAAATAGACGTTTTGATGCCCATTTGTAAGGAAAATGAGGAGTAGTGGTAGATGGGGAAAAGAGATGAGGGTAGTGATGAATCATGGTAAGGGTAGCAAATGATTGTCAACACCAAAATAAAGGGAAAAAGTTGTTAGACTGTTTAAATGGCCCATAGAAATGAATGGTTAGAATTAAAATATCTATTTCTCTACTCTCTCAAGCTCTGTAACGATCTGCAATCTATCAAACAATCTGAGCTCTCCAACACAGGTATGTAAATATCTCTCTCTTTCCTCTCTCTCTCTCTCTCTCTCTTTCTCTCTCTCTCTCTCTGCTTAATACTAATTTTGTCGATTTGATGTTACTGGTTAGCAGATTTGCACTTGTGATTTGCTTCCAATTAGGAAGATTGTTTGATATCCTATATTCCCAATTTATCTATCAAACGATCTGAGCTCTCCAACACAGGTATGTAAATATCTCTCTCTCTCCTCTTGGTCTCTGACATTTTGTCAGTCAATACAGTTGCATTTTTTGTATTAGCCTAGCATTTGGGTTATTGGGTTGTACTTTTGAGAGCCACTTAACTGAAACATTTTCTTCTCACTTTTGAGAGTAAAGAATAAACGGTTATACTGATTGTTTGGTTTGGAAGCTCATTGTTTTGTGGTTTTAGACTGGCTTTTTTAGGTTCACAATAATTGCAGTTTGGTTGTCCAAGATAAAGTTTGGGTTGTCTTTGTAATCACAAAACTCAAAAGTGGCTTCAAAAAATAATAAGTGTCTTTGTAATCACAGAATTAAATTTTTAGACTGTGTTTGGTTGTAGCGATTTGGAAAGAAAAGGAAAAATGTAAGTAAAAATTAACTATATTTTATTCTTATTTAACCTATCTCTTTCCTCTTTTTTTTTCTAAATTTCTACACAAATTCATGAATCAAACACATTATTTTTTTAAAAAAATTCCTACCCAAACACTTCAATCAAATATGTGTAATATGTGTCATTACGCTATGTTTATATCATGTATTTGGTTAAGAATTTAAAAACAAAAGGAGAAAATGTGTGTAAAAAGTAAAATGAATACTATATCTTATTTGCATCTTACCCACTTATCTTTGTGCTAATGAAGTCTCAAAAAGCCTCCACCTTTGTGCTACTAACGTGTCTCTTTGGCATTCATGAATTCAGATTTGGCCAGAGCATTGGCTGCTCCAGATACAGACCATCCAAATGGAACACCAGGCCATAAGAATTATGGATTGAGTGTTCTTCAGCAACATGTGGCCTTTTGTGACATGGACGACAATGGAATCATTTACCCTTAGGAGACATATATTGGTAATTTCCATGCATTTACTTTGTTATGCTATCATTTGCTTCCTACTGGACCATAACTTCACCTTCCCGAAAATAAAATAATGAGGAAAGAAAGACAGAAAATTTGATTTGATTGTTTTTGTGCATTTTGTCAAGATGAAACTGTTGGTCAAGGGCTATGGCCTTGACTATTCAAGTTTCCTAAGTTTTGTCTTTGGCCATGCCAATATGGTGGCTGGTTGAATCACTCTGCTGCCCAAAAAAATGCCGGGTCACGAGTTGTCTCGCACTACGTTTGGATGGGGTGGTTTGGTGAGAAATGATGCAAAAGTGAACTCTTTTCTCATTTTCAATTTATCAATTGTTTATAAATTGAGTGAGAAATGGTGAGAAAGAGAATTTGTTTACTAAGGCTGTGTTTGGAGATTTAGAAATGGAAAGAGAAAAGGGATTTAGAGAGAGATTTGGAAATGGAAAAGGGAAAAGATAAGTGAAATGTGAGAAAAATATAATTACATTTCACACATCTTTCCTCTTTCTTTTCTCAAAATTCATGAACCAAAGCAAGTTTGTTTCAAAATTAAGGAAAAAAATTATACGGATCAAGTTTAAATTCACATCATACTAATTCAAATTTTAAATATTAATTTTTTTTTTCCTGTAGTACGTAGTATTTATTTTTTGATTTAGTAGTTTGTAAAATTTTGCAGTACATAAATTTCTGGTGGATGTGATCTACACACTTGCCTTAGTTCATTATTGTTTCGTTAGCAATGTCTTTCAAAACAAAAGTAGATGGCCCAAGCTTAGAACAATTACTTTTCCAACATGGATTCAGTTTGGTGCTGTTAAAAAGCCATCTGTATTCTGTACTACAAGATAAGATGGAGCATAACTATAAACCTTACATTTTTGGGTGCATATGCTGGTTACCAGAGCACACTGAAGCTACCCAGTTCATCTTCCCAAAATCATAATGAGGGCATAATTTCTCAAACTAAGATGACAATGATCCACTCTGGTACGTACCCTTTTCAATTTTTTAAATTTTTTTTTTAACAGTCAGTAGGAGGGGGAAGAGGCAAGGGGAAGTTGCATCACGCAATAGGTAAGACTCGAACCCAAACACCACCCCTGGCAAGGGAGCACCTCATCTACTGGCCTAATCCTTGGTCTTACTCTGGTACATACTTCATAGAGTCAAATTTGAGAAAGTAAAGAGTCAGTATTGTAACTTCATTGTCACTGTGGCATGAAAAGCTTTCTTTCCCTTCAATAGTTTAGCAAACTCCTAAACAGCCTCACTAAGTTGGAACAATTAGAAATTCCGATTCATAGTCAAATGTGAAGCATGGCATGAATCTCTCGCTATTACAAATCCAGCAATTTTGAGTTAAAATTAGACTGTCTTTTTGGAGTTCTTTTTAAGAATTCAGTGGTTCCTCTTGCACTGGATATTTTATATCACTGCTGCAATTGGATACACAATAACGGCATCTATTAGTATGGTGTGAGTATAATTTTAATGGACTTGCTTTTCAATATTGTGGGTACTTTGATTTATTATTTTGTCACTAAATTGCTTGATGACCAAGTCTAGTCTCTCACGCCAAGATTCATAGGGATGATGATTAATTGCCCTTGATACTTTTTTATTGTTGAAATGATTAGCAATCTCTCTAATATGAGTGGGTTTAGCGTGTCAAGGCAATATTTTCTATTTGATAAAATGATCAAGAAAATTGTACCATGTCTGTCTACACAATAATTTTAGTAGCCAACAGCAACAATAATAATAATAATAATAGTATATACTTCTATTTTGGTTAGTGATAATAATAGAGTTGAAAACTTACATATCTATTGCCTCCTTGCCCTTGGACCTTGGCCCGATTTGGATTAACCAATCCAAAGAAAAGTAAGAAAAAAAAAATTTGGTTGTGTTTTTATTTTTTGTTTTCAATTTTATATATATATATATATATTTTTTTTTTGGAACTGCTTTTACAATGGCTGAAATTTGGTTTTCAAATTAAATTTTATTTTTTGAATCTTTTATTTTTGTCTTTAATAAAAATTTTTCATGTTTTAAATTTTTTATTGCACGCACTTCATTCATATCTTTTCAGTGTCAAACATTTTAAAAAATTCACTCCCTACTCTTTGAAAAGAAAATAAAAAAATTACACCGTGCCTTTAGGCACGGGCATACGCTAGTATATATATATTTTGGAACTGCTTTTGCACGAAATGAAATTAATGGTGTTTTTTTTTTTTTTTTTTTTATAATCTTTTCGTTATATTTGTTTTTAAAAACATGAAAAAACAAAAATACAAAACAAGGCCTAAAGTTTTTTTGGCCCATCAAAAGGTTTGAGATGTTATAAAAAATAGGAAAAATTACAAACACATCCCTTAGATTTACTTAAATTATAAATTATTTTGGTAGTTCTATAAATTACATTATGGCCCCTAAGATGTCTAATTTTATAACAAATAGGTCATTTTATTAATAAATTATCAAGTTAATTAACAGTTTTTAATAATGTTAAAATTTTATTTCAATTAATAATTCAGATAATTTTATTATTGTATAGGTGAACAGTTATAAATTTTACTTTTTAAATTAATTCTGTTAAATAAAAAATTCTGATAGAGAGATATTTGTAATATTCCAAACCATAGGAAATAATTCATAAATTTCAAGAAATATAATTTACCCTAAAAAATATGAAGAGCCCTTATTCTTCCGCATAGTGATTTTCCTACTCAATCAATTAATTGCAAAATATCATTAATTAGGCTAAGTAGTGTATTGATTTGATAATTGAGGGACCAGATGATTCTGTTGGTTGATTTTGGATCCCCTGTGGTGAACCAGTGCTCAAAAAATGATGTGGTGGGTTTTAAAAAAAAGGAAAATATTATAAATCTTTAATAAATTATCAAATTTTTTATCAAACCTCTCACATGAGTGTGAGATTCACATAAACATAACTCTTAAAAAAAAATCACAACTTGCCCTTTTTCATTTTCTCTTCACCTAAAAAAACTATGTCATGCACTACATAGAATTCAAATTTATAAATTCTATGTGATTTTAAGTATTATCTATTTAATTTTATTATAGTGTTGAGAAAATGATGATATGATGCATGTTGCTACTTATGGAGTACAAGTAATTAAAAGGAGAGTTCATCACACGAACAGGTAGAGTGACTTGAGTTCTTCTAAACATTTTTAATAAAATTTAATTATCAATTAATTGTGAGTAATAGTTCATAATGAGTAGTTTGATAATTTAATTTGTTATTAAAGCCTCTAGCACTTTTAGAATGACTTTTATTTATGATCTCCATCAATCAAATAACATGTTATTCTAAAATTTGTTTTTGTAAATGGTTTGATAGCTTTTTGAACTCAACATCGTATGTTCTGATTGTTGGTTTTAATTAAATATTTTAATTCAAATATTTTGAAAAAAATCATATTTGTATAAGTGGGAAGAGACTTTTCAATTCTATTGAAGTTATCAAATAAATCACTAGCTAACCAATTTTCAACTCTATTTTGAAATCTTTTGAATCAAATAATTTGATTGAAAAAAATAATTTTTTTATAACCGAAACGACTTTCAAATTCTGTTCACATTATCAAAAAATAGAATTCCTCTTAAAAAAGGTTGGGAGGTGAAACATTCAGGTCTCGTTTGGTAATTATTTATTTTAGTCAAAAAATCATTATAAATTATTACATCACTCTCTCTAATTTTTATATATATATATTTTTTATAAAAAATTATTAAAATTATTTATTCCCAAAGAAAGCCTTATTCAAAATTTTGACATACACACACTTATAATAAACAATAAAATTCAGATCTTTTTTATGATTTTATAGTTATATAAAATGTTAATGCAATTCCAATCATTCAAAATCAGATCTTTTTTATGATTTTATAGTTATATAAAATGTTAATGCAATTCCAATCATTCAAAATTATAATTAAGTGGCTCCATTTAAGATGCTCCCCGAAGAGATAAGCATCAACAATCGCTAAATTGACAAAAAAGTCCAAAAAATTCTCCAAAGACTCGCACGAACGAAACAACTAACGGGGGTAATATTATCATAATCAGAATAAATGCGGTGTATAGAATTATTTGAGGGACATTTCGGTAATTTTATATACTGTTTAGAGGGACACTTCGGTAATTTGATCACCAGCACTGTTCGTTGGGGGACCACCGACTCTCCCCCACCACCAAGCATTTATTTCGTTTATTTTTATCTAATTAAATAATTGTGCAGATTACAAATATATCCTTAAAATTTATTTTTATCTAATTAAATAATTGTGCAGATTACAAATATATCCTTAAAATTTCTTTAAAATATAAATTATTTTTTTTAATTTTAAAAATTATAAATATTACATAATCATAATATTTATTTGACCAAGTCAAGAGAGAAAATGAAATTCTTAGGTGCCGTTTGGTAACACTTTATGTTTTCAATTTCTATTTATATTTATAAAAATTTTAAAAATTCAAATAAAAACTTGTTTGGTAAAATTTTTGATTTATAAATCAGTGGTCTCAATTTATAAATTTGGCCAAAAAGTATGTTTCCGTTTTGAGTTTTGAGTTTTTTTTTTTTTACCACCCAACACTAGTCACCCCCTGCCACCATTTTCCACCACCGTCTTCCGCCACCACCACCACCACCACCACCTGCCACCACCACTCACCACCCACCTGCCACCACCACCCACCACTAAGAGCACACAATGTTTTCAAAAATTGATATCATCTCTTTAACCTTCATAGTGACAAACTTAAGACTCTATAGATAATAAGTTTTGCAATTATATGTGCTTATGGGTTCAATGAATGCCTTAAATATCTTGTTTACTTTTTTGTTTTTTTCTTCTTTCTCCTCCCCCCCCCCTGCGCGTTAATTGGCATGCATTTTATGGTGATGAAGTGACAGCAACTTAACATATATTTAATCAATTTACTACTAAAATCTGAAGCGTTGCAGGTGGGATCAAGAGTGTGTTAGCTTTAGTTTTGCCATTTTTCCTGCTAGAATATTATATAAACAATTCAAATCACGTGGTCTATAAATAAATATAAATATCATTGAAGTCAAAATTCTTCCCTTCTGGGGGGTTCTCATTTGTTTGAAAACAAATGAAATCACCAATTTTCCGCTTCCTAAAATTCTGAAAATTTTGGAATTGACTCCACTTTTATGAAAACGAAAACAATATACCAAACAAATTTTGTTTATGGTTTCCAAGGAGAAAATGAAGATGTGAATTTGGATGATGTTCATGTAGTTTTTGATGACATCGAGGTTGTGCCTCCCCGCCCCCCCTCCCCCTCCTCCTCCACCTTCTCTCTCTCTCTACACTCTCGCTTTTTCTCTCTCTAAGGAGAATGGAGACCGAGCCGGCCGAGTTCAAAAAACTCAAAACAATTAATGAAGTTGTTTTTTTAACATCTTTCTCACAATTCCGGCTAACATGTAATATTTTATAATATTATAGTTGACAAAAAAAGGTGGGTGAGGGAAGTATTATGCTGGATAATTAAAAACATTAAGAGATATATTTAATGGTGGTTGGTTAAGGAGTACGAACACATAATATTTTAAAAATATTTTATAATTTCTTCTCAATTTTGGCTATAAAAAAATTATTATTATTATTTTTTAAATTTATTTATTTATATATGAGTAATGATATATCAATACACAACACAATAATTTTTAAAAATATAATAAATTTTAATATTTTGTTTGGTTAAGAAATTTAAGAAAAAATTTATAGATAAAAAAATATATATAAAATTAAATAAAATATAAATATATTTTATTCTCATTTTACTTATCATTTATTTTTTTTCAAATCTCCATTCCAAACACAAAATCTTAAATAGTTTAATAAAACATTTTTTATTTAAATTTTTGACGTTTTTTAAATATTTTTTAATATATTTCTTTTGTTTCTTCTCCTTCGCTTCTTCCGCGGATTTCGCTGTTCTACGCCATCACCAGTAATCCAATTCTCTCTCCTTTTCTCTCTCTAAAGCTCTCTCTTTCTCTCTCTCTCGTTTTCAACGACACCGCTCATACATTGTTGATCCGAATATTCATATCTCTCTCTCTCCGTCTCTTCTTTCTTTATTTCTCTCTGCTTCTTTTTTATCATCTGAAAAGCATCTTTCTTGGATTGATGGTGAGCTCAACGTTTTTCAATTTCTGCACTTTTTACATCTCGTGTGTATTTATCAATTTTTGTGTTTTTAGGGTTTGATTATATGGCATATTCATCAGTAATATAATCTGAGATTCGAATTGCATTTTGATTGTTTTTCGATTTCAATGCGTTGCGTTTATGTATCTCTTGGTATTCTATTTATATGTTCTTTTTTTTTCTTTTTGGCATCTCAATCAAATAATTCCTTTTTGCGTTTATGTTTGTTTTCTCTTTCTGCTGGAGCTGGTAATTGATTTTGTTGGCTGTTTAATTTCAATTTTATTTTTTCTCTCTAAGTATTAGAGTGATGGGATTTATTTTTGGAAAAGTTGAAGAGCCTTTGAACTTTAAAAATCTCAAATTTGATAAAGTTTCGTAATTAAATTTACATTGGCTCGTGTTCAAATAATGAAAAGAAAAAAAAAAAAAGTGTTTGAACTTTTATAAATCAGTGACTCTGTGTATTTGGGCTATTTAAATCGATGCACAATTTACTTTCTCATATGTTGACAATTTCGCTCCTTTTTGTTGTAATGAATATATGTGTCAAATATGTTAACATTGTAGTAATTTAGAAGTTACTTGGAAATCTGAAGATCCGTTTCTTGATTAAGTGCAGGGCTCAAATTTCACCCCTTTTTCGGGTTTTTTAAATACTCTGCTGAATTGCATATTGTCGAGGGATTTTAACTTGGTAGTGTTCTGTTAATTCCTTTGATTAGTTATGGCTCATTTGTCCCATTGTTTTAACAGAGGGGCGTCATTTGACGTGAATGGAAACACTATGCACTGATGTTTACAGATTTTCTTGGACTAAGTTGAACTACTCATTTCCTGAAGTTACACTAGAGGTTTTGCAGATAACAGGAGTCACTTTTAGATGATACCAGCTTATTGCAGCTTGTAGAGGCTGCATTCAAGCATGTTGATTACTTTTTGGTTTCTGCTTAAACTCTTCAGCAATGAGAAGTGGGCTTTTAGTGACATCTTGTATTTTATGCCACATTTTAACACTGATATGCGTCTACGAGGAAACGAAAAACACTGTGTTGCCAGTGTAGAAACCTCTGCTTGGAGGTTAGAAGTCCATTAAACAGACTTTGACTTATCTCTCGCGACAATTCTAATAATGGAAAGGTGAGCTTCTGGGTATTGCTCTTATATCATAAAGTCGTTGACTCTTTTTCTTTTCATAATCCTTATGCTTGTTTGTGCTGGTGCATGGTCCTTTCAGATATAAAATTTTGGAGGAGCTTGGAGATGGTACTTGTGGTAGTGTATATAAAGCTATCAATATGGAAACGTGTGAGATTGTAAGTGATTCTTTGCTGGAGAAAATCAGGCTTCTATGTTAATAATGGTGGTTTATTCTTATTTGTAAACGGATACATAATTGCTTCTTAACTATTTTTTCTTGTATAAGTTCAGGAGCTAGCACAGAGGGTAAACCTTCTGGTATCCTCATAATAAAAAAACACACAGTTCGCTTATTGTATTTTTGTAATCAGTGGCTTGTTTGGGGTTTTCTTCAGGAGATGTTTGTTTTCCCAACCTATCGTGTTTACTAATTTTATGCACTTGTAAAATCTTAATAATATGTTTACCTCAAATACAAAACCCATGGTAAGAACAACAAGGTTGTGTGTCTAAATGAAAGACAAAACTACGCCCATATTAGTTTTTGAACTATGAGACATTAAAAACAACTTACTTTAAACCCCAGGTAAAGAATCTGGGTGTAAGACAGAGTTTTGTTGTGCTTTTTTGTGATTCTCTCTTTCAAACAAAGGTGTTTCAATTGGAAGCCATTAGAGACATTTGCTTCTCAGCATGACCTTAATGGTTCATCTGTCACACTGCCTTTTCCCTTGTGTTGGGCTCATGTTTACATGACAATCAAGAGATGCTGTTTTGTACTCTCTTTTTGAAAATTTCTAATTGCTAAATTTATTGCTGTGTTGATGGCCGTCTTGATCATTCAGCAATGTTCTGTTCTCCAGTCTGACCCACCCATTTGTCCTTTGAACTTAATTACATAGTTGAGAATGACCTTTCTATGTTTTGTTAATTTTGGTTAGCAATTACTTGAAGATTGATTACATTCATCACAGGTTGCAGTAAAGAAAATGAAGAGAAAATTTTATTCTTGGGAAGAATGTGTGAATCTACGAGAAGTTAAGGTATGAGATTTTGCAATCCTTCAAATGGTATACTGCACATTATGTACTAGTCTCAGTGAAATGTGCAAGTTTTGTTTGTTCATGAAGTTCTACATAGCTATAAATATGTGCATTATACAGGATCACATGGTTTTTGTTTTCTTTTGCTTTTGCAGTCCCTCCGTAAATTGAATCATCCAAACATCATAAAGTTGAAGGAGATTGTCAGGGAAAACAATGAGCTTTTCTTCATATTTGACTACATGGTAAGATTTGACCCCCTTCTGCTATTTTCAATCATTTTATGTGATAGCAAAAATTCGAAGTTCTTTGGCTTGTTTTTTGATGTTTGCACATAATAAGTAATATTATTCTGTTATGATGACATCTTTAGTCATATTTTCAGACATGCCTAATGCAGTTTCCTTATCAATTCCTACAATATTGGGGCCTTGTGTTTGGAATGCCTAACTTACTGATTCTGCTAATTGTCTTTGGTTCATTGAATATTAAGAGTGGTGGATTTTTTTTAACTGCTGCTGTAAGTAACAAGTAGGAAGCTGGAGGTAGTTGGAATTGGTATATCTCTCTGGAAATAGAACATGATTGGTGAACTTTTTTGTTCCAACTTTTTCAGTTTAGTTGTGCAATGAGATTTCTGCAGCTTATTACCAGAAGCAGTCAAGTTTCTGTTGGCATTGGTGTTGATTACTACAATTAATTTGCTCTGTTAGAATGTTTGAGCAAGCTAACACCTGAATGTTTGCTTCGTACCTGAATAGGGACCTGGAAAACCTATCTGTTCCACATAGATGTCAATAGAATGCATTCCATTTGTGTCTTGAATAACCATTTTTTAAGACCATAAAAGCATTTATGAAGTCTGGTTTCTCTCTTGGATAACATACAGTGAACATCTTCTATGGATAGTACAAGTGCATTCTGCCTTTGTGTTCTCTTCAATCCTTTGAATCTTTCATAGTAATCATGGCTTTCTATGTTTCACTGGCAGAAAGTTTGTCTTTGGTTGATTAACCGTAGATGCTTATGTTAGATACATTTGATGTGCACTATAAGTGCAAACCTGATCCATGGGTAACAATTCTTTAACTATGTCATGTGATTTTGATCTTAGAGAGAAAATAATTTTGAGAAAAGGTGACATTTTTTGACTACTGTGTAAATGAAGAATCATGTAGGTTATCTATTATTATTTGTGGTGGAAAGGACGTTCATGACAACTAATAAAATTATAGTCTTACAAAATTATTTTGCCTCATGACCTTTTCATAGGCCGATATGTCTTGCTCTGAAATGTTGAGATTGTTAAAAAGTACTTGCCATTGTAAATTATAATTTGCTTATGCTTGAACGTGGACTTCATCTCTCCAGGAATATAATCTGTACCAAATAATGAGAGGAAAACAGAAGCCCTTTTCAGAGGAAGAGATTAGAGCCTTTATGTCTCAGGTGCTGCAAGGACTTGCATACATGCACAAAAATGGATATTTTCATCGGGACTTAAAGCCTGGTATAAATTTCATCTCAGTAGTGTGCTTCTGTATTTTATGGATTAAAATGTATTTTATCCATTCATGGGGGTACGTTGCTTGATATAATCAAACATCCTTTCTGCTTTTCAAGAGAATTTGCTGGTGACAAATGACATCATTAAAATTGCTGACTTTGGACTGGCTAGAGAATTGTCGTCAGTGCCGCCTTTTACTGATTATGTTTCCACTCGGTGGTAAGAGATTTTCAATAATTCTGTTAAACCTTTGCGTGTGTGTGATTGATTGTTCTCACTGGTTTTTCAGTTACTTTAGCTGCTTTCTTTTGGTAATTTATTGTCTTATGTTGAAATTATAAACTTGTGTAAGGTACCGCGCACCGGAAGTCTTGTTACAATCCTCAACATACACTCCTGCCATTGGTATGTAATATGCTCTTAATTTCAAAACCTTCTCAATTTTCGTTTAATGTTAAAGAAACTGATGAATTGCTACTTTAACCTTGCCACTGGCTGGCTGGGGTTAGGTTCTGGTTTGGTTGATCATGTAAGCATTGCCCATTCATGTTGAACTTGTTCTGTTTGTCAACAGCCTTTTTCTCCCATCTCCCTTTGGGTTTCCTATTGATTATCCCCAATCCCATTAGTCTCTTCCATGGAGTTCGGTACTGGAAAGTAATTGCAAAAAATATTCCCCAGACAGTGGAATTTATAACAAATGTTTGGTGTAATTATTATTATTGTTACTGATATTATTTTCATGTGGGAAGCTGCCTTGCTAGGCTGTGTCAATGGTGGAGCAAAGTTCTATGATATTATGAAACAACAATTTATGATCACTCTCTCTTCTTCTTTTTTATTATAATTACTGTCCTTTTTTAATTTAAAAAAATAACCTGTGTAGCATAGTATAAATTCAATAAGATTTTTCAATATTCATTGTTTGATATATCTAGGCATTGACCAAGTTGCTCATTAAACCTTATCTGTTGACAACTGTTATAATGAGTTTTGCACTGGGGAGTTGGTAGATCAATTTGAATATAATATATACATATACATACACATATATACAGCATGCCTGACTGTGAGACCCACTGATCAAACTGCATCAAATCGATTTTGAACCCAAACCATGGTGAGCAGCTGAAATAGAGGTGTCAGTGGAGAAGTTGGTCTTTTAAACCCTGCCAAAAAAATACATACACATGTATTTTTCTTTAAATCATGGATCTGTAATTGACTGGAATGAGCTATGTATATGAATGATTTACAGCCACTTTGATGAGATGAAATATTTGCTTCCAGAAATTTGATGGGTTGAGCTCTAGTTGCTTTTCTATGAATTATTTTAATTTGAGAATTTGTACTCTGTGTTTTCTTTGTTGACTGATGACTGATGACTGATGATTAAAATGTACACACAGACATGTGGGCAGTTGGTGCAATTCTAGCTGAGCTTTTCACTTTGTGCCCCGTTTTTCCTGGTGAAAGGTGATTTCGTTTCCTAGTTTAACTCTCTATAACCTTTGCACTAATGCAAACAATTCTTCTCTTAGTGTTAATCCACTAATACCATGTACACCTACCTTCCTGTACTCCAAATGGCAAACACCACCTAGATAGGATTGTCGGTGTATATGACTTGTTTGGACTCATTCCTTGCTGTTCATATATGAGATCCTTAATTGTCTATTACTTTTGAAATACATTGAGCTAAAATTACTGTACTAGGTTGGAGCTCAATTACAAAGTCTGATTAATCCCATCCAATATATTGAGCTAAAACTACTTGAGTAATGCTTTGCCTGCAGCTTACTAATATCATTTCTTTCATGGGCAGTGAAATAGATCAATTGTACAAGATATGTTGTATTCTTGGTACGCCAAATTGGACTACCTTTCCTGAAGCGAGGAATATATCGCTACTTATCAATATTAGTTATTCCGAGGTGATCTCTTGTTTGGAGTAGTGATTGCTTTTCTATAGTTCTCCCCTCCTTGTTTTAACTTTATAGTTAATTTATTTTTTTCCCTATTTGGTCTTGGTAGATTATGCCTGCCAATGTCTCAGATATCATTCCCAATGCAAGCTTGGAAGCTATAGATCTGATCAAGGTGGGTGCTTTACATACATTTCTTTTTCTTTTTTAAACTTACTCAAAGTTGACATTTTAATTGCTGAAGTAATATTTGACATGTTTCAATGTTTTCTTTCTTTCTTGATTAGCAACTTTGTTCATGGGACCCACTAAGGAGGCCGACTGCAGATCAATCCTTGCAACATCCATTTTTCCATGTAAGATGTGGCCTCAAGTTTATCCACAGCTTTCTTGTTATTGTTTTATTTGATTACCTAACACGTGCCAATAAATAGGTTGGTACGAGGATTCCTCATCCAATATGGGATCCTCTTCAGCTGAAACTAAGTAGCGTGGGTGAGACATTGGACTATACTTTTGGATGTTATCTTACATAATTTAGTATACATGATTTTTTCTTAGTTAATATTCTTTTGGTGATTGCTATACAGGACCTACACCAAATCTTGAGTTGAAGCTATGGGACTTTGGCACTCAACCAGATGATTGTTTTCTTGGTTTGACTCTGGCAGTGAAGCCTAGTGTGTCCAACTTGGGTAATAAATTGTCTTTGTTGTGTCATAATTAATTAATTGGTACCTTATTGAGCAATGGATGGAAGCAATGATTGACCATGGTTTTACATAAGCACTAGATATGGGCTAGATATTATGTTGAGGGCATGTTGGATGATTTGACATTGTATGGAAAGAAATCATCATAGGGTAAAATTATTTAATGAATATTTCTTTTAGGGGAAGGGGTAGTGAGACTTGAACACAGGCAAGCTTCATCATTCCCAGTGAGGGAGCATCCTGTCCACTAGATATTATGTTTACTTGCAGGGGCTTCCCATGGTTAAAACTAATTTGAATTTCTAATTGTTTTTGTATATTGCACACTGTTCCACAGGACCTAATCAGTCTCATGCTTAATTTGGCAACAAAAAAAAAAAAAAAATTTGCTGTGATTTTGCATATCTTACAGCATAATTGCCTGTGTTTGAATGGCATAGCTCTCTAAAGTTTAAATTGGTTCTGATATATGAATTCATTCCCTGCAGATATTTCCCATAAGATATCTGAAGGTAGAGAAGAGGTGAGTTTGCAAGGCCACATTCACAAAATGTTGATGTAGCATGTGATATTCAGTGATGAATATTTTACATTATATTTCTGTTTGTGAAGCAAATGGCTGTACTATATTCTAAAAGATTGTGATTTCCACTAAGCAGGATATATTGTTTTGCTCTGGTTTTCGGGATCATCCACAACAGTCAGGTAATTTTTTTTGTTTTCTGTTAATTAATATCTCCTCTATTACTAATGAGTCATAGCTATAACTTGATGGGTAAGTAACTTTCCCCTGAGGGTGTGATTGCACCAAGTTTCGAGAGCTCAAACAAAAGAAAGTTTATAACCTTCTGGAAATCTAGAACCCAATTGTCGGGGTGCACCAGGGATATTGATCACATTAATATCCCTTACTCCATAAAATTATTGTTAATAATTGAAGAAAATTGTTTTTATTATTGTAGTGTTTCATGCTTGTTTCTGATGACTTGCACTTTGCTTTCCAGGTTTTTGGTCATTGCTTTCTCCTGATCATAATGGAATTACCCCACCAGTAGAATCGCCCTTGTCATTGTCATTCAGGTGACTCTCTCTCTCTCTCTCTCTCTCTCACACACACACACACACAGTGCACAACACACAAATTATGCTTGTTTATTTTGAATTTCGGTTTCTGCCCTAGGCAGTCATGATCACACTTTTTATGTTTTGAGTAGGTTATAGGACACTAATCAAAAATCGTTGTCTGACATTTTTTGTGGTATATTTCTGCTGTAAATGTCATACCCTAGGGACCACTATGGATTGTAATATCATAATTTGCTAATAGATTTGTACAGTTCTTTAAAGTTTTTGTGTGGTCTTATTATTAGTGTGTTTTTCCATTTTTCACATTCCAGCCCAATTCCACATTCATCAATTGGAGCTCCACAATCAACTGGATTCACCATTGCGTCATTGCAGCCTAATATATTGGACCGTCCATTGTTGGCCATGTCTTCCCCCTTCCAGCAGGGTCATTGCCTTTAATTGTATTAATTGCTGGCGTGATCAAATAAGGAGGGATTGTGGATATTTACCTGTAATTATTAGTTCCGATCAAAATACCTAGTAGGACTATGTGATGATTTCTTTTTTCAGGAAATTTCTGTGGATAAGAATGGATTGCTTTGTCGTCTGAGAGCTTTCCATTTTTAATCTAGATTGAGAATCTGACTTTTTTTGTTTTTTGTTTTTTGTTTTTTGGTCTTCTCCCGTTGGAGGAAGAGAGGGGGGTCTCTAGTCAAATATGTTGACAGTGATACAATTCCTTAAAAATACATTTGTCTAATTGCTTTATTGTGTATATGCTGTGGGAATTATTTTATTTTGTTTTTGCCAAATATGTAATGAGAAACTTGTGATGATGCTTCATGAGATAAATAGTACTTGAATAATTAGTGAAGGAAACAACTATGAAAAAATGCTGCAAGTGCTAGTGAACAATTGGTATATGAAATCTTCTTTATTTCCCATTGAATTTGGAAATTAGAGGAACTTGGTTGAGTTTTTGTAATATGATTTCAGAAAAAAAAATAAATCAAAAACTAGTTTGGTGAAAAAAATGAAAAAATAAATAAAACACATTATTTTTATTTGATTCTCTCTTTTTTGGGGAAAAAATATTTTTTTTAATTTTTTTTTTATGTTGAATTAGTTTTTAATTTTTTTTAAATAAAAAGTAATACAATTTCTTAAAATTCAACTAAATAAAGCCAGTTGTAAGTGAGCATACAAAGAGCCTTTTTAATATATTTTTTTTCTATTATTTTATCAAATTTTTCTTCTTTCTATTTTTTTTTTTTCAACCAATTTTTGTGTTTACCATATATTGTAATTTCTCATAGATAAGAAGCTGCTAACTGCAAAGTTTTGTGGCATTGTTGTTATATTCAGATCTTGAATTTGCAGAAGAATTAAAATGGGAAAATAGGCAAATAAAATGAATATGTAATGAAGGTGGCCAATTGTTAGCAAGACTTTTTTTGGCATTAATGCTATACTTGGATGTTGGATTTGCAAAGAGAAAATAAAAAGAAAAAAAGAAAATTTGAATATGTAATAAAGGTGGCCAATTGTAAAAATAAACAAATAAATAAATAATCTGAGCACCTATCAAGAGAGAGAAGGCTTGGAGTTGAATTAGTGCAAGGTAACCGAATTGATCTACTGAAAAAAATAAAATAAAATATCTATGACTTCAATTTTTGTGCATGAAATTGTCACAAAATGTTTGGCTTAGTGGGGGCAGTTTGTGACTTAAGAATGTGCTCGTTTCAAATCTCAGATTCAACTGTCAGTAGGTATTATCAATTTTTTAGGGTTACACTTGCGGGTTTTGCTCTCACTAGGTGCTATCAACTCTTTGGAGTCATGCACTCAGTTGTACCCTTTTGGGACTAGTTGAGTTACACATAATCTGGTCGGACATCCATTCCTAAAAAATTAAAGGCTTGCTGAATTTGTTTTATTTTTCTTTATTGATAATAATAATTAATTAATATTATCAACAGGCATAATTTGTAAACAATTTAGAGTATCATTGTACAACTCAATTTTATCCATCATGTTTTATCTCTCTCTCTCTCTCTCTCACACACACACACATATATATATATATATAAATATGTGAGGTAAAAGAACTCACAATGTCAAAAATACTTTTTTATTTTATAAAAGGTAATTCTATTTAAGCATTACAAAAAATCTCAGTATAAATTATTTATGTTTATTTCAAAAAATTGTTGTTCGAAATATATATTTAAAACGACATAATGATATGTACTGAAATTTTTTATTGGGATAGCCACATCTGCATTCAAAAACACAGTTATGTTGAGAACAAAAAAAAAAAAGGGTTTGAAAAATGTATACAATGGAGCATGAGGATAGTAGTCTTGAAACCCATTCTCACCTTAATTAAGGTATCCATTGGATCAAAAATAAATAAATAAATAGAGGTTTTGTGATCCACATATTTCCAAAGTTTTGTCTTGGCAGGTAAAACAACATGAAAGGAACCCTTTACCCAATGTTATGCACACACGGCAAGGGAGTTCACAAGTGGCATAAATTGCAATTTTGAGATATAATTTCTGTAATTATTTAATAGTTTCAGATTACTATTTAAAAATATTTACATGATATTTTAAATTAACTATATTACAAAATTTTAATGATTTGTTTTTGTTAAATAATTAAAAAATAAAGAATGATCATACCAAAGTTGTTAATATTCTATTGGATTAAGTATCGGTATGTTACTGGATGTCATTTCGAATTTATGTATTAAAAACATTATTTAGTAACAAATAATTTAACAACACATATCATGAATTATAAATTTATATATAAAAGAGACTTAAAAGCATGTTATGTCTATTAAATAACATAAATTAAGGTACTTTAAAGTAGGGTGTTCACGGTACGGTTGTGGGTCGAAAATCTCTAATCTGCCATCGGTCAGCTAGATTGACGGATTGAAAAAAGATCAATTCTCATCCGTTCGCTGGATTGATGAATGCGGATTGAGTGAATTGACGGATTGGTGGATGAATGCAAATCAATTTGGCGGTTTAAATTTTTACAAATTCTGAACATAATACAAAAATTTGTCAACATTTTTATTTTTATTTTTATAACAATCCAATCCAACACAACATAACCAAAATATTATCAAGTAAATTGTCAAATATCAATAATAAATACGTATAAAAAAAAGGGTTTTTTTTTTTTAAGCTCCCTAATAATAACAATTTTCTGCATAAAGGACATTAAAAAATGTAATACTGCCTCAGGTCCCTAACCAAAATACCAGCGCATTTTATTAATTTCTTGGACCAAAATACCCTACGTCTGTTCATCTTCAAATGAGTTGATTTTTTTGACCTGAATGGTGCAATTTCAATGTGTGTTTAAACCTTTTCAATCTCAATTTTTATCATTTCTGGTTGTAGGAATGAGAGATGATTCAAAGGAATTTGCGTTGGAATTGTTCGATGCTCTGAGCAGACGACGAAGGTTGAATGTTGACAAGATCAGCAGAGATGAGCTTTACGAGTATTGGAACAAATTGAAAACACAAAATCTAACAAATTACTAGGGGTGCTCGCGGTTTGGTAATTTGGTTGTGGTCAAATGAATTTTAAATCCGTCATTCGTCTAAAAAGTAGGTGGATTGAAAAAAATCAATCTGCAACCATCCGCTCGTCACCACGTATCTGTCCAAAATACAGCGGATCAGTTTGGTTCGGTCGGTTTGGATAGATCGAAATATCTGCTGCTCACCCCTACCTCAAAGAGAGTATGGAACACAATTTTTTACTATTTTAATATTAGAAAAAAGAGAAAAAAAATGGCCGCTATTTTCCAGTACTTACAAGGTGTTATTGACCAGTACTGTCCAGTATTGGCTCGTATTTTAGGCAGAACAAAATTGGACTATGTAGGTGTAGTTTTTCTTCTGAAACGTATGTACCGGCCGGTACAGTACAGTATTCATAACATTGGATCATACTTAATATTTATTGTGATTTTTTTTTACTAAAAACACTATATAGGTAATGTCATGTAATATTTTAAAAATATTTAATAAATTTTTTTTGTAAATGAATCTCTTGGGGCAAAAAAATAAACCCGCCAAACCGTAGCTATTTTTTATTAACTTCTTAAATAATTAATATATTAGGCATTTTTTTTTTTACTTTATCTCTATAAATTATTACACTGTGCCATTTTGTTCACTGAATTATGAATTTTGTAAATTATTTTACTTTATCCAATTCGGTGTTACAAAATTTTGATGAGTTTTTTTAACTTTGCACCTAAAATTTATTCACTTTTTTCACTCTCTCTCTCTCTCTCTCTCTCTCTCTCTCTCTCTCTCTCTCTCTCTCTCTCTATACTCTCTACAATTCTCTTTCTCTCTCTTGCAAATTCCTAACCTTTTGCCTATACACTCTAAGCCAAACCTTGTGGTATTTGAGTTAAGGTACTTTTGAGCTTACTTTGATATATATTTAGCTCACTTTTTTTAAGTAGATGGAAAAAAAAAAGGAGTTAATATTGATGGAGTTTAATATTAATTTAATTTGTGTAAAGAGAAGATGAATAAATTTATTATTTATCTTTAATTTTTATCTAATAAAACCAAATTTCAATTTAAATATTTTTTTTTGATAATGAGGGAAATAACATAATTCTGTTTTCTCAATCAGAGAAGAGGTGATTTCTAAACTTTGAAAGAAATATGTATTAGTCAATATATTTAGAGTAATTTGGACTTTGCTCTCTTTATATTTTATTAATTTCTCACTTTAATTTGTGAAAAAAAAAATTTCATCCCTTTACGCTTTAATTTTTTTTAATTTATTCTTAAAGTTAACTTTTGTTTAAAATTAGACAAAAAATATCATTCTAAATATAAAAATATGTTTTTTATGCCAAGCGACAACCAACATGATATTTTATGTATAATTTTGAGCATAAATTAGTTTTAGGATCAAATTGGAAAAAAACTTAAAATGTGAAGGTACAAAGGCCTTGTTTGGAAAGTGGCTATTTTTTTTTTTTTTTTTGGCTATTTGACTATTTTAGTAGGTTATTTTAATTTTTGTATTTAGGAAGTTGAGTTGAATTTTTTAGTTGATTGTTGTATTGAAAAATGTGTTTAAAATGATATTTGAGGCTAAAATAACAAATTTGCTCATAACCTAAGAGCATTTCTAATGCATTGCTAAAATAGTTGCCAAAGCCATAATATGGCAGTTTGGGAAAAAATGGCTTCTCCAATGGCATGCTATAGTAGCTGCCAAATTTAGCACCAGCTTTAGCAGCCGTTAAATCTACCAAGTCACTCAAAAACCAACTGCTTTCTTCCTTCACTTCTTTCCTTTCAGTTGGGTCAAACATGCCACATCAAAGATTAACATAATTTTGACTCCAAATTCGCAAATTCATCTAATTTTGTTCTTCATCACAAATTCACAAATCTCATAACAAATTTTCACAATTTTCACAAATCACATAATAAATTAAATAATAGACTGATCAGTGAACCCATTTTTCACAAATCTTATAACAAATTTTAGAACTAATTTCAGTGAATAAAAAATATGAAACAAATTTACCTAGATTCACAAGATGCGTGATGGATTTCAGACAATTTCAACAATTCCAAGCTTTCGTCTTGTTTATCTTGTTTATCTGTTTGCTTTGTCTTAGAGTTTGTTTGTACTTCGTCTTTATCTTCTCCATCAGAAAGACGATTTGAAGGAGTCAAAACAAAGGGTTTTGGATTTCTCAGATGGATTAAAGATAAAGAGATCCAAAGGGTTTAG